ATCATCGACGAAACAATGAATCAGCATTGCTGTCTTCCAAACCTGCTCAGTTAGATTGGATTACAAAGGCAAAGATCTGGTGCCACACATACGGTCATCTGGCTGTAGTCAAAAAGCGTGACCAGAAGGGTGGAAGGTGGGGAGGGGGAGGGAGACCTGTTCCAAAATTTACTGTGATCTGCTTACTATTTCTATTTTGCCATGATTGTTCAGGCGCGTTTTTCTCTGCTAAGACTAATTTTTTAAGAATAAAACACGTTACTATCCCAGCTCAAAAAAATCAAACATTCAAGCAAAGAGTCATATACATCGTATATCGTTTCGACTCCATTTCGAATTTCTGAGAAATTAATCATTTCATCCTTTCTTCAGAGGAAAATATGTTGTGAAAGCGTCCATTTGATCCCACTTTCATTCTCAACACTTTTTTTTATGAAAAACAAAAGAAAACGGAGTTAGAAGTGCTATTCACGATTAGAATTCCTTAATGTTTGATAGGATTTCAACAATTACATTCCAAATTGGTTCACTCTATGTTATAGCCTCAACAAAAAAATTCATAGTTAAGCATACATTGAAAACAATGTGTGGATGTCAGCACATTGTCAAATGCATGTCATTTGTTGAAAATTGCTTGTATTTCTTTTCCCATCGTTCAATGCCTTCATTCAAAAAACGTGATTCACAGTTAGAGCTGTCTGCTTTGATTTTTCCCTTTAAGCATTGAAGGAGTAAGTGGATGCCAAAGTTCTTCTTTGTTCAAAGAATAAGAATCAGATACCATGATAGATGATGAAATTATTTAATAAATACCAGGGGATAAGAATCAATTTAGAATAATAATTCAGATAGAATACGTATGACAATAAAACTATGTAAATATCCTATCAAAGTAATTGGAAAATTGTGATACAGTAAAAACTTCAGTTAGCAATGGTAAGTTATGCAGACACTACATAAATTGACCGAAATCAACACATGGATCAAATGAAGAGCAGGTCCCTATACAATAGATTTGACGTCAGAAAGAGAAAGATGAGCTTGCGGTCTCGGTTTTTATTGAGTTTGCTCGGCTACGTACAGTCTTTAATGATTAGGTAGGTTTTTTTTTATTTTGTCAGAAATCATTCATTAAAATGGTTACAGACATAAGCAAATGAGCTAAAGGTAGCGATAAGCCGGACAAAAACTACGAATGCGATAAGAGAAGCACGCACTAGGTATGTGAAGAAAATTTCTTATCAGACTGTGAGCAATGCTTCTGTTGCTGTTCTTAGCGTTCAAACTGCCGTGAGGGCAGAAAATACGCGAATTGAGCAGTAATTTATTGGTGGGGTTGCATATAGTTCGCAATGGTAACGCTATTTGTAGGATAGCACTGTGGACTGGAATCGGGAGAAAAAGGGAAGAGGTGGAAGAGAGGTAGAGGGAGAAGTGATGTAGCGAAAGAGGATAAAATATCTTTCAAATAGTTAACAGTGTTTTTTTCAGACAAACATATATTTGAGCTTAATATTTAGAAGAATTTTGATGCTGTGTGGTCCATTCATTTTAAGCAGTGCAAAGCTTCCAAAGATATATGGTAAAGAGTTCAGAAGCATTGATTCAAACTTTAGCTTAATCACTCGAGAAAAGATTTCAAAGAGCTTCGTTGAAAGTTGATTATGGAAATTTGTCCGAGATTCAAGTCTAATGGCAGACTCCCCCATTTTCTAATGATCATTTGATTGTAAAGAATTTATGATAATCGACACAGGCAAAGTA